AGTTATTGTCCAATAGGTCATATGATAATTAAAAAATCGTCACTAATTGTTAATTTTCAGCGACAATTTGAAAATTGTCACAAAAAATGTCACTAATTATAAGTTTTCCGACAGTTTAAAAAAATATCACAAAAAAAGTCACTAATTTTCAAATTTCAACGATAGTTTAAAAAACTCATCACAGAAAAAGTCACTAATTTTAAGTTTTAGCGACAATTTATAAAAACAGTGACAAAAAAAATCTCTAATTTTCAATTTTTAGCGACATGCAAAAAATTGTCACAAAAATTTTTTTTAGCGACGATTTTACTAGGTCTTATTTTCAATAGGAGTTGATAGAAATTAAGTCCTACTATTAGGACCTATTGGTAGTTTACCCAAAAAGAAATATATATTGCAATTATTTTATAAGTATCCCATTGAATTATAATTTTTCCAAACATTAACTGCTCTGATTTTTAATGGAGGATTTGGTCAAAGTCCCCTTATAATAAAACTTTAATGCATTAATGACAAGCTCAAAAAGTTTTTCTTGAAAGGTCCGGTATATACCACTATTACTAAAATATTAAACTTTAAAATAATATAACTTTTGATCAAAATGTTGATTTTTAATAAAATTAGAATTTTTATAATACTCTCATCAATATCTATCAAATACGATCCATGTTAACAATGAAATTCTTAAAACAAAATAATATATTATTACCATTAAAATTGATGTAAACAGTAACATGTAACATGTTATTTTGTTTCATAAGAACATGTTATTCTGATTCATAACAATATGTTATTTTGATTCGTAGCAACATTTACTCTGACAATATTATCCAAGGAAAAAAATGATATTTTTATTTTTCCCTTTCATCAATTATATACCTTCTTCTAAGGAGATTTATGAAGTAAGATAAATTGGGCTGTTATTTTTATCAAATAAGGATCCAATAGAAGGGTTTGGACTAAATTTCACATTTTTTGGGGAATGCACACGTCTGCCATAATTTTTCTTCATGTCGTCTAATGTTAGTTTACAGCCTCACTCAAATGGAAAGCCCAAGCGAAAGAAGTAATAAAACACTTGGCCCATGATATTCGACTGGTACCTTGACAAAGCCCCCGATTTACTGTCTATATATAGGGTTTGGATTAAGAGTGTTTACGTTTGGTGGACTTTGAGACTAGTTTTGGTGATTAAAACTGTTCACTTTTTAGGATTTATTAAGTAAAATATTCATATAAAAAATCAAGATAATCAAACATCGATAGATATATGTTTGAATCAGGGGTAGGTCCACTCTTTGACTCACTCAAACTCTGTTCACTGCTATCATATATTGCTATTTTATATATATATGTGTGTGTGTGTGTGTATGTGTGTGTGTGTGTGTGTGTGTGTGTTCATCAAGTCCTCCCATTATAATTTTGAACACCCTGTTAATCTAACTCAACCAAACAAAAAGTTTTTTGAATTTAAGAAACAAAAATCACCATAGTAGAGTTTTAAATGGTTTATTTTCATCAAGATTGAAAAAAAAAAATTAGTGTCAAATTGAATTTTCCGGTTTGGTTGGTCGAGAAATTGAAACTGACTTCATGTTATTGTTTAGTTTGGTCAATTTAATATAAATGAGAGATTTATATGAGACTTTATAGAATTTTATAGAAATTTGTAAGATCTCAATTGGAAATAAATGAAGAAAAATTGTGAAATATATGATATAATTTATAAAATTTAAGTTTTGAAATGTCTAATAAATAATTTTAGAGTCACCACTGGTTTGAATCATATTTGTTTTAAAAAATGAGCAATAAATATAATTTTAAAAATAGCAATTCATTTTTTATAATATAAATGTGATTCAAACATGTAATTATCAATGTCTAATTATCTTGATTTTTTTTCATAAATATTTTGGTCAATGAATCTTAAAAAATGAACGGTTCGGTTCATTGAGATCGGCCCCAAAATGGGCCACCAAATCCAAACACTCTCTCAAATTAAGATGACCAACTTGAAAGAATCTAAACTCATATATATATATATATATATAT